TCATGCTTCATAACGGTTGGCAAGCCGTCTGCTCCCTCAAACGGCGGTGAAGTAAAATGAGCTTCGCGGTAACGTGCGTACATATTCTCTGGAGGTGTCACATCCAGCATGACTGATCGCGTTCAATTTATACTGACATCCATTTTGCAGTGGACGGCTATTTGGAGTCTCTAAAATTTGCTTCTTCCAATCGGGCAATTTAAATCAACTTATGGGGCTCAGCAGCCCAAACCCCAAATCATTCGTCTGATGTTTCTTCAATAGTTTGACACACTTGTGTTGAAAAATATAATTGTGTTTGACATGTTTTTCATCCTTCCCAAAAGTCTTGTGACCCAGATAGTGTTGGTGGTGGGAATGCCGGAGAGGCATGTCAAGAAGCTTCTTCAAGAAGAACAAATGCCGTGACGTCTACTAACAATCTCTGGAGTTTGTTAAGGTCAAGATTTGATATTCGCGCCAACAAGTGACTCATAACTACATTTAGCTGGAACAACTGCACGGACCAATCTATTCAGATTTACCAGCGCCTTGACAATGAAATGTAAACATGCGTTTATTATTTCTTACAAAGCAAAGCAACAAACAGGCTTCAGACCGGAGAGACATTTAAAACCAATCCCCGTGTCAATATCCAAACCAGAGACAAATGTAAGGAAAATAACATGTGTCCGTAAGTTGTGGACCACCATGTGCTGCCAGAGCCGCCTCAGTGCATCCTGACAAGTTCGTGGAACGTGACTGCGGGGATTAAAGACATTTTCTTGAAAGACATTCCATCATTTTGGAGTTCTGATGGGGTAGTACAGAGGTTTGTCCTAATACTTCTTCCAAAAAGTCCCACAAGTATTCAATTAGGTCACAGTCTGGAGATTGTTCCTGATCACGTCCGAGCGCACACCATCCTGTGACCCCTCGGTTCTGCATGACGGCATCTGTGTGTCATATTGTCCCAGTTACTTGCTCTTTCTGTGTAGTCTTCGAACCAGCTCGTAATACAACACAAATGTGCATCTTGTTTTTATGTTACCGACGGGGTTACGACGACTACTACGACCATTAGCACTTGATCAAATCATAAATATTTATGTGTTGATAAAATACTACTCGTTTGGAGTCGTGTATAGCAAATCTGCAATAAAAATGCGCCCACATTTTTATTGAGGATAAGTGTGATCAAAAAAAAAAAAAAAAAAAATAGGTGGACAAATGGGTCGCTATTGTGAATTCACTCGACTGCTTCTATTTACTTGATATTTTGTTTACGTCACAGGTGTCAAACTCAAGGCCCATGGGCCAGATCTGGCCCGCCACATCATTTGATGTGGCCCGAGAAAGCAAATCAAACATGTCGACTTATATGATGCTTGATAAAATCTATACCAAAATGTCAAATTATCGTATGTAATATATACACGAGTGTTTTCTTGTTACCCAAACCCTCATTACAGGAACTTAAACGATAGTTGACCAAATCATTATTCTTGACTTCTTCGAATGGTTTCACAGTCATAACGGCCCTCCAAGGGAACCAGCAACTATAACGTGGCCCGCGACAAAAATGAGTTTGACACCCCTGGTTTACGTCATACAAAGTGTCTTAATTGTGCTCGTGAGAAATCTGAGGTGGAATTAGCAGTTTTTGTTGATTGACTCGTTTTTTTTTTCATCTCATGGTTGCACAAAATAAAATTATCTGTAGTAGGTAGATGTAAGCAGATGTATAGTCCACTTAAATAATTTATCAGGCAGAGGATTTTATTTTGTGACAATACAAAGTGAAATTAAGTTGTTTTTTTTTTTGTCTTAATTTCGTTTTGTAGTTGCACAAAATAAAATGATTAACTTATTTTAATTTATTTTATTTCGAAACAAGCATTTAGTGGTGTGAGAATTGTGGTAAAAACAGACTTGAATTTAGATTCCCCCCCCAACCCCCTGCTTGGAACACTATATTTTCATCACAGGGGTCTGACCTGCATGTGGTGCTGGATTTTGTAGTCTTGATGAACAAGGGAGCTGCAGTAAAGACCACTTTAAATAAGCCTTAAATAGAAGCTGTCATTAGTTCCACCAAGAGAGATGAGGAGATGAGAGATACTGTAAGTCCGGGGTTCAGTATATTATATTTTTACATTTACTTTTAAGTTGTACTGGTAAGGATGCCCCTCCCACCACTACCTCATATGGTATATGAATTATACTGTATTGAGTCTTGTAGTCTTTATTCAGAGCAATGATTCTAAATCCACTGTTCAGGCTAAACTTAACTCGGAGCATAATACCATAGTGGAAACAATACACCAAATGTTAACGTTCACAGTTGCTCAAAGTTTGGTAGTCTTTAATGAATGATTATTGAGCTGTATGCGACTACTGATTGAGTTGTTGACGTTTTACGCAACGTCCATACATTTTAATTTCATGTGTGTGCACCACAAAATTGGAGAATTCATCAAATTGCACTGGACTGGCACTCCAAAAACAACCCTGCGGGTTGACAGCTTCCTCTTTGCCTGACCCTATCATTTTTTACCCAGTCATTGCTTTTATAGGATATATATTTAGAGAGGTCCAAACAATCATTCACCCACAAGTCATTTGCTGACTAGCCTCCATTTCTAAATGGACCCGTGACAAATTGAGCGATCAACGAAATCTTTGTCCTATATTTCAGTATTACCGGATTAACCTGGGCATCAGTAACCAAAATCATTTCATCAAGAGCTTTTGGAATAGTTGGGGTTGATAGATCATTCGAATAATTTAGCCAAATTGCAAATGGAAATTGTTATGTTTTTGATTTGTTAGATTTATTGTTATTTGTTGTAATGCATTTTTTTGTAATAGTGGGTCAAAAAGAGATGTAAAATATTTTTTTCAATTAATCTTCAGGACACTACTCCATTGTTTGTCCCACATGGAATGAATCCACTCTACGAGGTTTCGTTCCAATTCCTTGCTAACATTCTCCTCCAGTGAGGAGTGCTTTCTTCTTGTCAGCAGACATCAGATTATTCTTTAGTTTACTCCCCCCTACCAACTCCTTATTCTTTTTGGGTCAATGTTGAAATGTTTAACAGCTTGAATTCTTTTCACTGCATACAGCTGTAAGCTCCCCAAAACTCCCTCTCAGCAACAATTTCCAATAACCGTATTGCTTTGGTCTCGAGTGACGTTCAAACCTTTGATGCTTCTTCTCATGCCAAATTCTTATGGATTTGGGAGGTGTTTTGGAAATATTCTTTAAAAAATATATATTATTATTACCACCCGCACAAATGACATGTCTAATCCGAAGAGATTTATTTATTTTTTTGTTCCATTTCCAAAACCCACAAACTCCGATAAATGCAAATTCATGCTAAAAGTGTGGTTGTCCACATAGTCAGTTCAATCCACCAAAAAGCAACTAATCAATCTTTCTTTTCCCATTATTTATTCCAAAATGCAAACGATACTTGCGACCAATGTTGCTCCCAAATATTCTCCTCTTTACGCTCTATTCAGTTCACATTATACTCTCAAAAGGCATACTGCACACCCTTCTGCTCACCTCTTTCTGTAAGGTGCCGTTTCCCCCAAATTTTATATACTTCTCCATGGGTTGCAGAGAATGGAAGTCCATGTTAGTGTCACGTTGCGTGGTGGTGGTGGGACCCCAAAAAGCAGGCAGGAGGAAGGAGCAGGGTGTACTTGAAAAAGCGTAATGATAAAACACAGAAAACTAAATCTAAACAAACAAAGTCCAAACAACAAAACGAATCCAAAGTATCAAACAAAACCATGACTGAAGCTCAGAAAACTAGAACAGAACCATGACAGAAACAAACATGACAGGACAAGCAAACAATGACCTGACACGGAATGGCCGTGCCGGGAGTCCTTTTAAACAGCTAATTACCGAACGACCAACAGGTGTGCAGCTGCAGGGAGAGCCCTACAGTGCCACCTGTTGGTCACAAACAGAATCATGACAGTTTGTGACAAAAGTTTGACGGCCTCACGCAGTTAAAAACGGAAGTTTCCACCGTTGTGGGAGTGAACACAGCCGTCTTGCTCCCTGCTCAATCAAAGAGGCTCAATCAAAGAAGCATAAAGGACTCACTGGAGTCAGTGCAATAGATCAGTGTGTACAAAGTATGTTTATAAGGAACTGCAAGAAAGTCTCTGTTTGCAGATGATATAAAATTGGCCATTGCGAAGTGGTACGGGGATGCTTTTAAAAATAAGATGATAATAGTAATAATAATAATAATAATAATGCATTCAATGAATTGATTTCTACAATGATTCTGAGGGTTCCATGCACGCTGATGTTAAATTTATGAATGAAATACAGTACAATGACATCAACCACCACATATTAGCGTAGCGCAGAATTTCTCTGCCCGCGCGTTTATCAAATCTACCAAATTAACTTTTACACCACCTCCGCCAACAATTTAATCATGTTTGAATCTGGTGTAGTTCAATTTCGGTCACCAAATTGTCAGGTGCGCTGGGAGTGTGAAAAAGGATGCGCCCTCAAGTCTGTCAGAACGCTTAGCGAGGCGTAGCTCGGCCTGCCAAATACCCCAAAAATGGTAAATAAGACTTGCCTCGACACGAAAATGAAGTTGCGCGAAGTGCATGTGTGTGTATGAAAATAGGACCCTATTAGTGTCCTCTCAGCCATTTCCACAGCATGCCTTAGTCAGTCCAGAGCACACGTGTAGTTTATGTGAGGTTACGGCCATGGTATGCTTCTCGTGTGAGTACCTGATGTGATTCTTTGCTGAGCAGCGGCCGAGCCACAGCAATGCGCATCTCTCAAGTCTTGAAGCAATTTCAATCTTTCAACTCAAATTAATGATGATGAACTGCTACATGGATGGACTCCCAAATGTGAGAGCCATCAGCAGGGAGTGCGATTCTAGGACAGTGCCCAAATACGTCCATATGCTCGTCGACTCCCTTGGCTCTGAGTGACAATCGCTCGTGTGTCTGTTGTCTATCAGGAACGTGCCTCGGACATTGACCTGCGGCATGATGGGGACCCTCAGCCAGGAGAAAAGGTCCTGCAGGACATCAAGGAGAGGAGGACGCAGGAGAAGCAGCTCCTGGAGATCCAACGGCAGCTGGACCTTCTGGGCCAGGACCAGGAGATGACAGTGAGTTGGCAGCCGCCATGTTTTCTCACACACTCACAACACAAAAATGCACTTTATCAACACACCACCTGTGTTTCTCATTAGAACACCCTTCTTTGTTTATCTCATGCACATACATGACAAATTATAACAAGCACAAAGTTCATATCCAGTGAGGATGATGATAAACAGCGCAGCATTTGTGTCACTGCAAGCCCACTGCTTCCTTGATCTCTTTTTTTATCCTTTTGCAGCAAACTCAAGATTCATTACATTTTTTACGATTGTGACCAAACACTGTAGTTCCAGACAGCACCACGGGAACGCTTTCAAAACAAAAGGAGAAAAACTGTTAGGACAACAAACAATGTTCCCGGAAGATGAGGCCATATTTGGCTTTGTTGGTCTTCGAGAACAAATCCCCCTTTTTCGTCCACGAGTGGCATTTGACCTCCATAAAGCATCCCCTGAGTAGCCTGCAATCTGCCCCTCCAAAAAAAGCAATTTTTTTTGGATAATCAAACACATGCTTTCATTCTGGCATGATGGACGAATGACTAATATGAACATAAAAGTTGAAAAGGGTAATAAAAACGGTGACCTAGCAATCACAGCTTTACTTCAAACGAGACGTTATGACATGCAACCAAAACCTAACCCAAGGCTTTATTGAGGTTTTTTGTTTCCACCCAGCAGTCAGTTAACTGCTCCTGTCTTCAGAAGGTTGGTGTCACTTTCCCGTGGACCACCACTCAAGGTCGTCCCACTTAGCGCATCAAGGTTCATCTATTTGTGAAGATTTATTTCTCTTTATGCCTATTTTCCTCCCAAATTGTTTCGATCTATAAAGTTGATTGGGTAATAGTCATGACTCAAATTTATTATGTTGTAATGTGTGAAAGCTATCCTGCAAGTTTTCTTGCATGTGTGATGATGTAATTTCATCACTATGTCACTTTTACTACATTTATTATGAATTATATCGCACATGTTGTCCTATAAAAATAGTTAGACGAGCACCATCTAACAGATCCAGTGCAGAAGCGATGAAAAAAATGCGCAGATGGACAAATGGCCTTGTCATACCACATGAGCTTTTTGTCATTCACGACGGCCGTGTTGTCAAGACTAACAGATAAATATCGTTCTGTGTCTCGGACCGGGCGAGTTGTCACACTGCAACACTACAAGTCCATACAGCCATAGTTACGAATAGGTAAGTGCTCCTTTTGAGCCGCGACGATGCTAAGCTAATGTCTATGTCGTACCTTGCTTCAATGGGACAGCCGCCGTAGCTCACATGCCCGCCACGTATCTCCATGCATTGCCTTTGATCGGAAAGTCGCCCCTGCCAAGATGGCCGCCACATAGGCACGAATCTACCGTATGTCAATGACACGTACAGGTCTTTTTGTCAGTTTATTTCGCCACAGCACCGGTTTTTGGTGCTGTGGACATTTGTGACTAAATCTGGAAGTTCCAGACTTTGACAGCAGTTTCGCAAAGTGCTATTTGGAGTAGACTGGACACATCAACATAACATGCCTCATAGATGGTCACGCTACTATGAAGAGTATTTGTGCTAGTCTGCTTCAGCCTCACTGTTCAAGCAGTTGCAACAATCATGTGACACGTCGGATACAAGTTGGAACAATTACTAAAGCATCCGACTGCATTATTGAAGGGCAGAATGACAAAAAAATACAAACAGCCCATATGAGTCACTCAAAGGCTATGTGTTATGGAGATAATTGGTTCAAGTTAAATTAACCAGTGGAGGCTTTGCGTGTTCCATTCATCTGCAGTCTGGACCGGGACGGGCGAACATTTCCTAGTTAGGAGGGAGTCTCAGAGTCTCCACAAGTTATTAATCACACCCCAAAAAACAATCAAGTGGATTTGTTGCCTGTAGCCTTTTTGAAAAACAGGGTCACACAGTTGGCAACACGGAGTCGCCCTGACTACATCACAATTCCAAGTACTGTCCCTGGACGTCCTGGTAAGAAAAGCCATAAATAGCATTTGAATGAGACAGAACCACACCCACCAAACCGAGTATTTTCAACCACATTTAACAACTGGATGATGGGCGTGCTATAATTCTTCACCCTTTGTAAATTTTACCCAAAGAATCTGAGAGCTTTATAAAAAACACTTGCAAACTGTTTCAAATCGTGGAAAAAAAAAAGTCTCCTTTGAACATCCCGTGCACGTTGTAATAGAAGTAACAATTGTTCGTCAACCAAACAGCTAAAATCAGCGACTGTAAGTCATATCCTGACGAAAACTCTCGAAGCTTTTTGCACTTGAGTACATTAACACCCACGGCTATCAAATTCACCATTCTTTTAATTGTTTTGATCATTTTGGTTTTAAAGCAGGGTCACTGATGGTGTAGCGGTTACACTCATCTGACTTGTGTGCGGGCAGCCTGGGATCGGTTCCCACTCAGTGACGGTGTGGATGTGGGCGTGAATGGATGTTTGTCTCTAAATGTGCCCTGCGACTGAGTGCGTGTTATCTGCCTTCCGCCCGGAGTTAACTGGAATAGCTTTAACAATTAATCCAGTCGTGGGTTTTATTAGTCTGCAACATCCGTTTTAGATAAGAGTCATGTGTCTTTATATATACACACACGTCTGTTGGCGCCATACTGACTCTTTAAGTAGAACCCTGCTGTATGACAGCATCGACTTACGGCAAGGCTGCCCTGTAATGAACAGCAAGTGAACTCAGCAGCTGGCCTCTCGGGTTGTAAACAATCTACATTTGATGACTTGTTTTTAACATCAGCGATAAATGTTGATATGAAAAATGTTTGACCTACATTGACTTGGATTTAGTCCCAGTTACAAGATGCATCAATGCTTAACGTGGAGGTCCGTGACTCCTCACCGATTTTGTGCTCGGGGAGAGCGGCCGCATGACGGAAGAAGCTCTTAGTACCGTATGCATCTTCAGCCACAGTCTTGCAGTCACCAGCCAATATTTGTGACCATAAGTGAGTGCTGAAATGTAAATTGACTGACACCCTAAACTCTGATGGTATGGCTGTGCCCCTTTTGGATTGGAGGGAGGAAACCGTATTCTGACATTCAAGTATTTCAATCCATCCATTGCCATAGCATTTGTCCTCATTATGAACTCGGTTTGTTGGAGCCGATCCCACTTCACGTTGTGCGAGAGGCCGTTGGCAGGACAGGGGGCTTCCAACGGCCAAACCTCAACACTGACCACGAGGTCACAATGTTACCTGAAATCATTCTAACAAAAATACAAAAATATTGAGACAAACGTCTTCATTCACATTGTCTTGATGAATCTCATCCGTATGCGGAAGCAGGAAGTAGTTGGTATTGACCCATACGTCACATCACAAGTTGCATTGAAAATTCAAGGATTTTAAGTATCGCCTGATGGTCCGAAAATTACAATACAGTATTTACATTGAAACAAAAACATTAGTGGAGCTGGTTTTGCACATTATTGGATTTGAAGTTGATCAAACATGAGCATAGTTGATTTATTTCCTTTCTAGGAAAGCCGCATGCATAATTTGGCGTTTCTTAGACTGTTGTCACTGATAAAATATTCCTCTGGAAAATGTAGTCAACCCCCCCACCAAAAAAAGCAAACAATTCCAGAAAGAGGAGAATTCCAAGGAGTTTCCAAGGAATGACCTTACGAGGTTAGCTTCCCTGCAAACTCATCTGGCTGTGCTCCTAGATCAACTGGAAAAAGGAAGAACAATCCCGCTATTTACAGTAAAATGGGACATTTTCCAAGAGGGTTTTGCTCATAATTAGCCCAACATCATTAATCATACTGCCATGGTTTGCACTGATTTTCTGTTGTCAACCAAAATCACGGGGCTTTGCTTCCATAATTCAGACAGTACAGTGCATATGACACAGCTGTATTTAGATACGAACCAACAAGTCAAAATATTCGGGAAAGCAACGCAATCTAAAGAGATTCTATACAAGAGATGGATGTGAAAATCTGCCTCGATGTAGATCATTGCAGTTTTGATCAGCAATTTCAGAGATGACAGTACATGAATACTACAGAACAATTTGCACTCTTCACTGTATCTGTTCTGTTACAAAATTTTTTTTTTTTTTTTTTTGGGGTTTTTTTTTTTTTTTTTGGTGGCATTGAAGTGAAAAAGATGGACCACATGTGGGAAGAAGAAGGGGGGCAAGAAGAAGAGCCAGAGAAGGAATCATCTCCAAAGATAATTCATTTTCAAAGAACAAAAAGACAATTGATCAAAAGTACCAAATTAACAAAAGTCATAAAAACAAATTTCAAAGTCATAAACCACAACATAGCAGGGGAACATAGCAGACCAAAAATGTGACAATTGACAAGAATGGAAGCAAAAACAACAAACACAGACTGTAGCTAGAGGGCTAAATACTAAACTGACGAGACAGCTGGGGGGACATCTGGACAAGGCATGAGTTGCTGAGGAAGCGTTTTGGTTGACACAAGGGACCAGGCTAACAACAGGTGGACCCATGGGACGCAAGAAAACAACACATTCCCTGAAACAAAAGTAATTATAATCGAGGCAACAAAAACACGGCCAATAACATGTTCAAATGGTGGCATGCGCTGTCATAGTTGCTTTGCTTCTTAGTTATTAAATCAGTCATCCAATTAGCATGTCGATTTTCAGAGGTGAAATATTGCGTGACCATCCATCTGTTTTCTGATCCGCTTATCCCCACACGGGTCACGAGACATGCTGGAGCCTATCCCAACTGTATTCGGGGGTTCACCCTGAACTGGTCGCCAGCTCATCGCAGGACACACATAGACGAAAAACCATATGTGCTCACAACCATACCTAGCGACAATTTTGATCGTTCAAGTAAAACCACTGTACATGTTTTTGGAATGTGGGAGCAAGCCGGAGTACCCGGAGAAAACCCACGCAGGCTCGCGGAGAACATGCAAAGTCCACACAGGAATCGCCGGAATCGAACCCTGCACCTGTGCACTGTGAGGCCGAC